CATTCAAAACAAATGGAACCCCAAAAAAACAAAAAAGGCAGCAATAAATAAATGGAGGATAATATGCCCATTTCAAAATCCCGCCACGTCATCGATCCAGGTGACCCCCTCACACGAAATACTACGCCCTTAGATCATCGCCCATTTGATAATTCCCAGCCGTCGATTATTCCCTCAAAAAGATGAACGAGTAGGAGAGGGGGAAAAGGGGATGGCGCTGCTTTTCCTTTCTTTCCTTTTTTTTCCTTTTTCTAATCCCCTCTTTCTCTTTTCGGTTTTTAAAAAATCTATTTATTCTCCTTTAAATCCATCCCCGGATCGATGCTGGTGCCAAACTAAATTTCAACAGTTCCTTTTGTGAAAAAAATTTCTCTCACTCTTTCTCCTTCGTCTCTTTTAAAGTTTCAATTTCCGAGCTTCGTTGGGTTCACGACGAGCTTCGCTCTCTCCACCTAAAATGGCGACTGAACCTCCTCCTTCTCTTCCTCCGTACCCAGAGGTAATCTTCTTTCTTAGCTGTGACAGTCATTCTGATCTGAGTTTCGCTAGACTCTGGGTATTTTTGGAAAAAAGAAATTTAGTTGAGCAGTGAACAGATCCGGGATTTTTTACAGCAAAATTTTTACCTCTCTTTGTTTCGTATGCGTATGTTGTTGTAGATGATAATGAAAGCTCTGGAGGCTCTGAACGAACCCAATGGTTCGAACAAATCGGCGATCGCGAAGCACATAGAGACCACCTACAGCGACTTGCCGGCGACCCACTCCACGTTGCTTTCTCACCATCTGAACAGGATGAAGGACGCCGGGGAGCTCGTGTTCGCCAAGAATAACTACATGAAACCCGACCCGAATGCCCCACCCAAGAGAGGCCGGGGCAGGCCACCCAAGGCTAAGGCTCCACTGCCTCCGGGTACCGTACTTTCTCCGCCCCGACCCAGAGGCCGTCCACCCAAGGACCCGAATGCCTCGTCCAAGCCCAAAACCTCAACCGGCAGCGGAAGGCCCAGAGGAAGGCCCAAGAAGGTGGCCCGAACTTCACCGGAAACTGGGCCAGTTGTGAGTAGGGGCAGAGGCCGGCCGCCGAAGGAGAAGCCCACTCTGACGGAAGTGAGCGTTGAACAATAGGCTTATCAATTAGGGGTAGTGATCTTTTTTTTTCCCCTCTTTTTTCCCTTTATTCTTCTTTCTCTCGCCGTGGTGAAGTGGATGTGGTAGTTTGTGTTGGTGTAATTGTGATGTAAAATTTGTGTAGCTGTAGTGTAGTTTTAGTGGAAGTTCGCTGATGAAGAGGCATCCTTGTTGGTTTTCTAATTATCATAGACGAGAAAATGACTTGATTTAATGATATCATTCTGGGTTCTAATTTCTAACTTGGATTTCTGTTCGTTCTAGTCGTTTGATTTCAACGGATTAATTAATGGCAATTTAGCATCGGACAAAATGTGTTGGCTGTTGGTGCTATAAATTAAGGCTGGTTTTAAATTCATATCCCACTTTGGTCTCCAGATGGGCTGTTATCTTGGAAATAAGGACACCCCATTTCAGGCAGCTTTCTTCAATTTTGATTCATTGCATTTGACCTTGAAGAATTGATTCTTTTGCAGTTTTTTTTTTTTTTATATATTGACCATTACATTCCCAAGAAAGAGTTAAAAATTGAAACTGATTTAAATTAGTAAATGAGATACTGGCTAAACTTTCAATGCTTAAAGCAACAGATAAATGTTGGCGATGATTTTAAGCAATTGCATGTAGTCGTTAATGATTATGTATTCAATGACATAGATATTGCGAAATTTAAGTTTTACAATTATATGAAAATAATTATCATATTTAGATCTTAATTTTTTTAATGTAAAATTAGCTTATGAAATATTATAGTAATAATTGTCAAAAAAAGTAGTAAATTTTTAACCAAGTGTTGTATATAATATATCCTAAAATATTTAATTGTAAAATTTGTTGCAATATGTTGTCATTTGTTAACTAAGTATCATGCTGGCAAAAAAGAAAAAAGGTACTAATAAAGAAAAGATAATTAAGTATAATAAATAAGGAATGTAAGTAAGTAATTGGCCAAGTGTAAAATGAATATTTATTGCACTTCTTCCTTTATTATAATACTTGCTGATTAGTGAAAGGCAACCTATTTTTTCAAATTTTACAGTTGGATGATGTTTTACGATGTCCACCGCTTTTTATTAGCTAGTATTTATTACTCTCTCTGCTTAAGAGACAAATAACTAAATTATGTTGATAAAAAAACAGTTAAAATTAGTTAAGTACAATTAATGTGTAAAAAGTATAATGTTTTTTTCAACAATATCCCCATTAATAAGGAGAGAGTATGAGAGAGAATAATTAAATTATTAAAAGAAAAAGAAGTGGGAGGGAAAGAGAGTATGAGTTAGAGACAAAATAAATAGGGGTAAAATAGAAAATCAATACAAAAATAGAGACAACTTTTAAGTGTATCTTATATATGAGAACATACTATAAGCATCAAATGTCTTTTATAATAAGGAACAGAGAGAGTATTTCTTTTAACCAAAAGCTATTTTTTATTTTTCATTAACTACTTCAATACTCTTCACAATTCTCATTAAAATTTTCAAATAATTAATTCATAAGTACTGAATAATTACTTAAAAGTAATAAATAAGTTAATAATATATTTTTTTAAATATACTTTTGTAATAAATGCAAAAAAAGATACAAGAGAATATGTGAAAAAACATGATAAACAAGAATATACCAAAGAAAAAAATAAATAATTAAGAACAAAAATTTAAAAAATGTATTAAATATTAAAATAAATTAAATTTTATAAAATACATCACATTCTTTCTTAAATCTAAAGGTTTGAAATAGGATCAGAGGGAGCATTTATTATACTTCTTGAGCTGACTTTGTTTTAAGAAATCATAGCCCTTTGTATCGGAGCTCCACCAAGACGGTGGCCAAAGCTCTAGTGACGGGCTGCTGGCTCAATTGGAGGGCTAAAGCTGAAGCCCTGAAGGCTAGCTTCCGACAAGGGTGATAAAGTGGGCATTAGTGATGTTTTTCTTCCCCCCAAAGTTGCACCTTCATTAAAGTAAGAGCAAAACTATACTAAAAATATTATAGAGGTTGAAAAAGAAGGAAATTTTTTTCAAAAATATGCTTTTTGAATTTTAAAATAGTACTAAATAAGAAATTACTATAAAAATATATTGTCATTTGTTTTTTAAATGTAGTCAATTGTTATTAAAGTGTAGTAAGTAAAACTGATTTGAAATTTTAAAATTTAAAAAGTATTTTTTTTGGATTTTAAAAAAAAGTGTTTACCTCCTCCTGTTTATAAATGATGTAAAGGATGAGTTTTGTGGTATTTCTTCAAGGGATTCCATTAATTATTTATTATGATTGTTCTTTGTATCCCCTGTTCGATGTTTTAACATGCGCAAAATGGAAAACTTATTTAATTTTTGAAAAGTGTCAATGAATTTTAAGATTTTTTATATTTGGTGAAAAATGTTGAAAGTAAAATAATTTATAAATAGGAGCGATTGGAGGAAGTAAATGTTTTCTTTAAAAATAAAACTACATCCATTTCAAACGTGAGATTATTTTGTTTTGACCAAAAAAAAACATGAGATTATTTTGGGCAGTGGCATATTCTAATATGTGGCATTATCTGAAATTCCAAAGACAATTCATATTTTTTCTTAAAATGCTCATATAACTATATTAAGATTATTAAAATTACGCACATCATGGCACCGTTAGTCCCTTATTATTGATTGTCGGTTTACGTGGATTGAAAACCCATCTAACGTGATTGCATATTTATCGGTTTCTTTCTAATTGTGTGCGTACTTTCAAAATAGGAGGATCAAATAATTAATTTATTAAATTTAAAATGTTTAGTTAAATTTAATTAAAAATAATAAAGATGTAAAAATTGTAACTTATTTTTTTAAAACGCTTTTATTTTTAAATAGGACGAGTGAGAGAAAAAATTAGTGGAAAATAAATAAAAAAGAATGAGTGGGAAAAAGGTGAGAGAGACATAAAATTAATTAGTAGTAAAATTAAAAAAAATGTAATAATTGATTAGACAAATTCAAAGTGAATAGAAACAAAAAAACAAGCCTCTTTAAATATTTGACACTTATATTTTGAACCAAAGAAAATAAAATATATACAGGTGAACAAACTTTTAATGAGTCTTTGTTACTCATTTGTCCTATATCTTCTTTTTAATAAAATTTTGTGAGCCACTTTTTTAATTTGTTAATTTAATTTTACTAAAAAATTTTCTCTCTCCTCCTCTTCTCCCATACCAGCTATAGGATTAAAGATACATTACAAATACCAATAAGCATATGAGGGGTAAGTAACTCGCTTCTACAGCGAAGTATACAAATTTAAGTGTTTTGAAGTATACTTTTCAGTTATAACTCATTAAACGAGGCATTCTTACTCTTCAAAATTAGTAGCTAACATAAATATTTAGAATTCGTTTAGAATATCTTATAAGTAATTTTTTAATTATAATTTGTAAAATACAAAGTAAGTGTGTAAAAAAAATTGTCTTAATTTATATAAAATATGTTTATAGAGGCATTTATAATTATGAATCTAAACTAGGCCTTAACCTATGCTTAAAAGGAGGGGGGGGGGGACACGGCTTGCGTGCCGTGTGGGTCTTCTCCTTATCTGAAAAAAGGAAAATACATAGCAAATCCTAGAGATACGGGAGCGCAAATACATGAGCACAAATTTGCAATACGCTTTGGAAGATTGATCATCTCTATCAAATATTTTCTCATTTTAATATTTATGTCCAACCTTTTTAATAAAAAAATGAAGCATATATGGTTATGACGAAAAAAGGGGAAGCATCAGCGACGTCGTCCGCGATTCTTATCCCTTTCAGTGAAAGCCTAACGTAGTGTTTGGCTGGGGGCCGGGCTTCTTGAGGAGAAGAAAAGAAAGGGAAAGGAAAGGAAAAAATTAAGACTGTTTGGTTCAGAAAAAATTAAGAAGGGGGAAATGGAGAATTTTTGTCCCTTCCTCCTTCCCTCCTTCCTCATCCCTCCCAAATTGTCCTCTTTCGGGGGAGAGAATCAGAAAATTTTTCTCGTATCCTGGCAAAATTGTCCATAGCATTTTTTTAATTTTTTTCCCCAGATATTCCTGTGACGCCTTTTTAACTTGTGAACGGCAACCCCTTTCCTTTCTCTTCCGGGCGTTGCCTTTTCCTTCCCGCATCGACCCGTCGCCTCTCCTCCCCCCGTCGTCGCCGCCGCCACTTGGTCCGGCAGTCGCCGCCGCCGCCTCTCTTCCTCTATCCATCTTCATTGTCGTCAGGTGAGTATCTCTCCTAGATCATATCGATTCTTATGTTCTTCATCCTTGTTCTCGTTCGTACATGTCTCAACTCTCTGGTTTCATGTTTCTGGTTTTATTCCTTTTCTTCTTTGATTCAGATTTCCCCGTTTCTTCTTTGTTTTTAGTTTCTCTCACAATTAGTCGAACTTAAAATTTTCTGACTTGCAATCTAGGATAAACCAAGAAGCGTCGAAGTTATTTCATAAAAGTACATTAGAAGTTGAAGTCACACTAAACAAAACCAAAAAACTGAAGTTTATAAATGCAATACTTGAGTTGGGAATATCGATCTGCACGTTAAGTGAAAATTGAAATAGCTTTTTGGTTAGGACATCCTTGATTGAGTTCCATATAACAGTATTCATTCCATAATGAGCCAACCCCCACATCTGCGCCATAAGTAATGCAATATAGTATATATAATGAATGTTGATTCTGCCTATGTAGCTACATTCTTTGGTAAATATGACTTCCCTATTCCAGGGGGACCATCCAAAGTGATTGTTTTTGCATTGGAATCTTGTGGCTTTCTATTTGGTCTACTTTGTTCCTTATCTAATTTGATACTTATGGTCAATCATTTTTGAGAACGTACTGTGAAGCTGTAAGGCATGTTTGAAGGTTCAAATCAAGGATACTGTTGTATTGTTAGTACTATTGAGGTCCCAATCTAATTGCTTGAGGTGCTGCATGTTTGACTCTTACACAATCAACTAACCTTGAACAATTGCTTTTTCACTGTGTTTGCTGTTTAGGTGACTTCATGATCACATTGGACATCGATTGATTGATTTGTATTACCTGTCCTATGGTGATCTTCACTTTCATTAGACTGATTGCTTGTGCTTTTTGCCTCTCAACCTTGGTGAAGTTTGATGTGCAACCTTATGTAGACAGCTTATACCTCTCACTCCTGTTGTTTGAGGTATTAACGTAGATGGGATTGGCCCATGGCTCTGAAGTTCATACCATAGCATTCTTGTTGTGTGTTGTGAGTCAATCCCTGTTTTCTCCTCTCGTTTTGTGGTGTGCGTTGACTCCGTCGATCTCGCTCATCCCCTCTGTTCTGTCCATTTCAGGTGTGTTGACCATAAGGAGTTCCGCCCATATAATCTAATCTAACAGTCCTTCTTTCTTCCTGCTGATTGCACCCTGATCGCTTAATATTGGTTTGGATGTGTTGCCTTAGGTTTTAGAGTAGAATCAAGTCTAACCAGCATGATTAAGATAGAAATTTAGTTACACAGTAATATGAATATTCTTTTTGGCTTTAAAATGATATTTCTCTATTCATGATGGGCTACCGTGAATCTTTCCATTTATATTCCTAGTCAATTTTGATTCTGGGTGCATGATGAAGATGATGATATTGTATACTATCTCGATCCTAGATATAAGAGCTAGTTTGTAGCATAAATTACACTACCAAATAGCTCTTATATTTAGGATTGGTGGTAGTATTATGCAATGTTTACTTATGGTAAATAATTGGTAAGTTGTGGAGGCTAGTAATATATATCCATGCTGTTCAAGGTAAATTGTGATGTCATTTTTATGAAGGTTCAACATTTATTGGAAAATTTAGATATGATTACAAAATAATCATCAACATTTTTGCAATAATTATTCATTTTATATCATTTTTTCTCTAACAGTACTATCCCTAAAGCCAGAGAGGGATATATTAATGGATTCCATATATGCAGTGGGTTACCTTAATTCTGTCTTATCAATTTCACTTTTAGTCAATCATATGTTATGACCTTATATTTTGTATCTTAATTTTTATTATGTTCTTGGTACTATTCTAACATGTTTAATTCCATCGCTATAATTCAGGCAAGCTTTTGGAATCAAGTACTTGTTCATTGGATAGTGTTTCAAGTATCATCAACTCTCAGTCCGGGGCTTCATTTTCCAGAAATTGAAGCCCTAGACAAATTCTATTTTCTTGGATTTGAATATTCTGGAGTTCAGCGGCATAGTGGATGGTCTTATTCAGGATAAAAAATTCGACATGAGAATGCAAAATGTCTTATTTGGCTCAAGACACAGAACATTTCATAGGATATTTAATTTCCTTTGTTCTGTGGCCTTGTTTTTCTTCTTTTACAATTGGGAAGATGTCGTTCGTAGCCCTCTTCTTAGGCAATCTGCATATTTGGCACACCATCATTTGCCTCCAAGAGCAGTGATTCGCCGGCAAATGGTTGAAATCAGCCTTAACTCATCAAGGCTAGCTGTTGAGCCTCATCAGAATAATTTGACTGCAAATAGTGCTGAACTTTGTCCTGGGTTATTCGTCCATGATGGTTATTCTGGCCCATGTGAATACTTAAAGGCGAATCCACAGTGTAATTCAGGAGGAAGTTTTGATCACATAAGATTTTTATATTGTACATGTCAAAATTTTCGTGGGCTGGGCTACCTAGTGTTGGGTATATGGCTAGCTGCATTGTTTTACTTACTGGGGAACACAGCTGCAGACTTCTTCTGTCCATCTCTTGAGTTTCTCTCGAGGCTCTTGAAATTTCCTCCAACTGTTGCTGGGGTTGTGCTCCTTCCACTTGGAAATGGTGCACCTGATGTGTTTGCCAGTATTGCTTCCTTTGTTGGTACAGATGCAGGGGATGTTGGGCTTAATAGCGTGTTAGGCGGTGCTTTGTTTGTTACCTGTGTTGTTGTTGGGACTGTCTCTCTTTGTGTGTCCGGTAAAGGAATTCAAATTGATAGAAGATGCTTTATAAGGGATGTTAGCTTCTTTCTATTCACTCTTTTATCACTTTTGCTGATGCTGGTTGTTGGTCAAGTGGGAGTTGGGGCAGCCATTGCTTTTGTATCAATTTACATTGTTTATGCATTTTTTGTTGCTGCAAATGAGATATTTTGGAAACATGCACGAAGGTTAAAATTGGATGCTGTCACACCAATGCTTCCTGTCCGTGGAGGTATATTCGCCCTTGGATCTGAAGAAGAGTCTTCCGTATATAGCTCTTTGCTTGACATAGAGACGGACAATGATCCTCCCCATCTCCCTCCTTCCTTGCCACAGTGGATGTGGTCTTCACATGTTGCTATCTATTCAAATCAGGCTAATATGATAAATGATGAAAGGCCTCCTTGGGGATGGAGTGATGGGAGTGAGGAAAACAACCACTCGACCTTCACTGTAGCAAAACTATTTTTACTGATGGAGATGCCACTGACAATTCCTAGACGGCTAACAATTCCCTTGGTCCATGAGGAAGTTTGGTCAAAAAAGTATGGTGTGGCTAGTGCTTCACTGGCTCCAATTCTCTTGGCCATTTTGTGGAACACTCAAGATAATGTGGGTTACTTGAGTGCTATACTTTCCTACCTCATTGGTGGTGTTCTTGGATGCACACTTGGTGTTCTTGCCTATAAATACACTTTACCTGATTATCCACCGCGCAGGTTTTTGGTTGCTTGGGTTCTTGGAGGATTTGTCATGAGCATAGTGTGGTTCTACATGATTGCAAATGAGCTTGTTGCTGTATTGTTGTCATTTGGTGTAATTTTAGGAGTTAATCCATCTATCCTGGGATTAACTGTATTAGCATGGGGTAACTCAATGGGGGATTTGATGTCAAATGTTGCATTGGCAATAAATGGAGAAGATGGAGTTCAGATTGCTTTATCTGGATGCTATGCAGGTCCCATGTTCAACACACTTATTGGTTTGGGAATCTCAATGCTGCTAGGGGCCTGGTCTGCAAAACCTGAACCATACACGGTTCCCGAAGACCGAAGCTTATTTTACACTATGGGATTTCTTATCTCAGCACTGATCTGGGCTCTTATTGTTCTACCTCGCAATGACATGCATCCTGACAAAAAACTAGGAGTGGGCCTCATCACCCTTTATATCATATTTCTTTCTTTCAGGTTGTCCACTGCTGTGGGGCTCATTCCAGTGCCTGGCTTAGCTTGACATTTGAGAAGTTGAGAGTTGTGATCAAACTGAGCATGGGTTCTACATCTATTAAGACCACAAGGTCATCTGCTGTATAGTTTTTGTCTTGCTTAGGGCTGATTTTTTAGACTAGAGAAATTCCTTGTTCTGAAGCTGCTGTATGTTTTACCAGCAAAAATGCTAGTAGTTGTACATCCAAGACAACATTTACATGTAGGTTGATCTAATAATATGTCTTCTTATGCTTCTGTTCTTCCTTTGAGCATTGTGTTGCGCCTTTTGTTATTCGTCTAGGCTGTATCCATTCTTGTGCTCGAAATTTTGAATCAAGAAGTTAAGCAGCAAGTGAACTTGTTGCGTGGATACAACTCAGTGAAACCAAATTGAAGAGTAATAGCTCTTGTTTTAACGGTCAATTTTGCTAGGTGTCTTGTTCTTCTTTTCTTAAAATAATGCGGTATGATTCAAACTTTCACATCACGATACTATGAATTCATCAAACTCAGAATGGATTGCTTCAGCTTGTCAGCGGTAGGCAACTTCAATTTAAATTTTATGATCAGAATTAAAATAAAAAACTAAAAAGTCAAGATAATTAGAACAGGAAACTAACCAATAATACAGAGCATACAAATAAAAAAATAACTAAAATTAATTACTCAAATAAAAAACAACAAATTACAAGTCATGATCTCAGATAAAAACATCTCAAATCATTACATTATTTTTTTATTATTATAATTAGTTTTTTTAAACTCAGAACTTTATGATTTTGAATTCGTCAGAAAAATTAGCAACGCAGAATGACATAAACTTGAAAATCTAATTCATACAGCGTGACACTTGAATGTAGAATTTTACATTTCCATATCAAAAGTTGCTCTCTCATTGAGAACTTGTGTCTCTCCAATTGTGAGAGACAAAGCCATTAGGTTCAGAGGCGGGTCGGATCCAAGACTGGGATGGGAAATTTGAAGAGGAGTGTGATTGAAATTGGAGATCCGATTATACAAGTTCATAATTCATAAACCAAGGTTGAGATCTGATTATTCATTTGGGAAAATGGTAGAAAAATACTTATTGAATTTCAAAAAAATAAACAGGTCATACTGACTACTATTGTAATGACTTTGACTACTTTTATAATAATTTTAACAGGTCCAAATTTGCTAAAATCACCTATTTGTCATTTTGAAATTCAATAGATATTCTTTGGGTCATTTTTATTTATTTTGAGGCCTATGAAGTGCTTATGCTGTGAATATATCTGCTTGTTGATACTTAATGGTCACGTTTTCGGAATGGTGAATGACCTAGATAAATTTTGGCCGGCTATAATTGTGGTATTCTGGTTTTTGTTTCTGGGAATTTACTCTTGCCAAAGGCAAAAAGAAGGAGGAAGCTAAACGTTTTGCTTTGAGTTGCTATATTGTGGTTGTGATATTTTGGAGGTTTTTTTTTTTTTTTGGTGAGAACATAATTAATAACATCGAAATCTTATGTATTTAATACATTTGATGATTTGGCCTAATTTTAAAGAAATTTCAATTTGATCCATTGCTCTTTTTTCAAAGGCAGATATTTGATACGATATATCACTCAACAATGGATGGATTTGACTGTAATATTTTACACACACACACATATTTATTTTTTTTCTTAATTCTTAGTTATATATGGATGTAAGATATTATATGATGTTATATTTAATATTTATGCATCACCAGTATTAATATCACCATCATCATTAATATTACCCTCGTTCACTTATTTTTTTTTTTTTGGCCAAAGACCCTCAGTCACTTATCAATTTGACAAGTTTTACTGCTCAAAGACAGGAGTGCCATTTATTTTCTAGTTTTTGTACATATAATAGGTAAATTAAAATATAGATCCAATTTTTGTATGAAATATGATTTTTTTTTTCCAGAAAGAATCACCAATTTGCGTAATCCTATTTATATGTCCGCCTCTAAATTTACATGTCATCTTCTAGTATTTGTTATATAAAAATAATTTATTTATTTATTTAGGAACAATGTGAATTTTTTTGTAAGTTTTATATAAAAATGGGCTACTAATAAGTTATAAATAACGTGATTTTTTAATCCAATTTTATAGATGTAACTTATATACATTATATCTGGCCAAAAAATTATATAAATAATAGGTAATTCTTAATATAATATCTATATAGAAGGTTTTACCTAATTATTTTAAAGATATTTGATTGAGTGAGAAAGAATTCAGAAGCGAGAAAGTGTCCGTTGAGATGTGAGAATATATACCGTGTTTCGTGGATGGAGGGCCAGTATCCAACACCCGCGACGCAACACGGCAACTTAGGAAAGGCGAAAAGACATAAAGCCCCTTCTCAGTCTCAGCGTTTAAAGTGCGCAAGGCGAAAGCATCGTCGACAAATCCCAGCCTCTTCTCAGAAACCCTAGGACGCCTCTGAACTGAACAAGCATGGTTAGATCTTTCGTCTCTATTCACTACGAAACCCCCAGTCGCTCGCTCTTCTTATAGCTTTGCTCCTAATTTCCCTCAACCTCCCCCCCTCTCTCCAAATCTGTTTCTTTCCAATTCTTGGTTGACTCGCATCCCTTCCTTCATATTCATCGTACGATTTTGTTGCAATTTCCAGGTACTTTTTTTTTTTCCTGTCGGCTTGTCACGCTTTCATGCTCTGTGCTCACATGAAATCTGTGTTTCTTTCTTTTGGGTTTTATAATGGGCTTTGTGTATAATGATTTCTTTCATATTGCTACTAAATCTGAACTTTTATGACGAACTTAGTGGAGTAGACTCCTGCCGTAATTACGGACCTCTTCAAGAATGAACTTGGGGTCCGGGTTGCTTGATCTAGTGCTTCTTGTCGTTGTGGTCACCTGTTGGAAGCTGGGTTATTGTAGGTTCCCTTTTTGCTTGTGGGCTTCCTTTAGGTGCTCTTTAATAGTTATACTAAAACGCGGCAATGAAAGGGATGGATTTGAGGACATGATTTTCACATGGATTATGCAGTTTGTGATGATAAAGGGAACATGATTAGATATGCACTTTTGAGCTGCTAAAGGTGCATAAGGGACTGCTGAAGTAGTATTCGCTATTAGTGCTTTAAGTTTGGCAGGTCCTGGACTTGTGATCCATGAGCCTTCGTTAGCCGGTAGATCATCAGATAGGTTGGGGTTTCGAACTATTTTGCGGTTCTCACGGTTTGAAAGTATGAATTAGGCTATATCTGATTGCCAAGAAGTGCGTTCCTTTATCATCATAGCATGACTCAACTATCATCTTGCTGTGTTCCTTTATCAAACTTGTGGTTAGGGATGTGTTTTGATTTGAGTTAGCTAAGACCCAGTTTTGGTTGAATTTGATTTTGCTATAATGTGTTTTATTTATGTTCGGATGCTGTTTTTGAAATTTGTTATCTTTTTTGTTTTTTTTTTTTCGCGCAAATGCAACCATTAATACGCTTTTCCATGACCTAGGTTTTGAGTCAACCAAGGTTTGAAAAAGTTAGGTCTTTTTTGGTTTCCAGCATGAGGAAAACAGGGTTTTGGCTTTCATTATTTGCTCTCCTGTTTCTTCAATGTCTTTATGTTTAGGTAGTCAAAGGTGAAAGGACATTGTAGAGTCTGGAAGACTAAAATTCCAGCGTCTAGAGGCAATAGGGAATGGCTAAATTTGGAACGCTGTAATATGCAGTTATCTTAGAAGTTGTTTTTTTTCGGAGCATTGAGTTTGTAGAAAATTAGTCGGTGTCTAAGATAAAGTATAATGGTTCACGTCTGCTAACCAAAAGATACAGCCTTGAAATCCTCTAAGAAACATCAGATGCAGTTGTAATGGATAGAATTTATAATATACTCCCTCCGTTCCTTATTATAAGAGACAAATAACCGAAATACGTTGATAAAAAAAACAGTTAAAATTAGTTAAGAACAATTAATGTGTAAAAAGTATAATTTTTTTCCAAAAATACCCTCATTAATAAGGAGAGAGAGTATGAGAGAGAAAAATTAAATTATTCAAAGAAAGAGAAGTGGGAGGGAGAGAGAGTGTGAGTTGGAGATAATAAATATGGGTAAAATAGTAAATCAACACAAAAAAGTAGAGACAACTTGTAAGTGTCTCTTATATATAGGAACATGCCATAAGCATCAAATGTCTCTTATAATAAGGAACGGAGGGAGTACTTCTCTATTATCTTTTTGGTTCTCACTCTGTGTCTGTTTCACTGCTGAAAATTTGTTAGATGATATTTGTGTCTATCAGCAAGTTATATTTATGCTAATTTGCTTGTATCGACTCTTCAATAGCCGCTAGCCATATCAACTATTGAAATGTCCTTTAACTCAGCTTGCACTGCACAGTTTTATCCTTTAGAACAGGGGTGGGTGGGATGGACGTGGATTTTAGTGGCTACTCCATTGTAGGTTGAGAAATGAAAGAAAGCAACTGGGAGTGGATTTACTTAAAATTAACGCAGCTTGCAGTGCACAGTTTTATCCTTTAATGCATTGCAAAATAAAAAATTCTTTCAAATAGGAAAAGTGAGTGTAAGTTGGATTGGTGTCAGAGGTGTATGCCTTACTGAAGGTTCACTGCCTGGATCATCAGAGGCTTCTTCCTGTTAATGCTTTGTGCATGTTCATTTCTTGCCTTTAACTGCACTTTTATATCTATCTTGTATATTTGCTTTTTATGTTACAATGATTTGACTTAAATGTATTGTTTTCTTTTGGCATATTTGGCAGGTCTTCATTAGTAGCATTTCCTGAAAAATACAATTCTGTCATATTGCAAGTGCAATGGCTACTTCCTTGGATATGTCACTTGATGACAGGATAAAAACCAGAAGTAACAGGGAGAGGGGTAGAGGGCGTGGCAGAGCCCCCCGTGGCCGTGGAGCAGGTCAGAATCTTCGTGGTGGAAGGATGCCTGCTGCAGCTCGTAGAGCTCCTCTGGGAATTAATTCTCGGCCATCTGCTTATGCCATTGCCAAGGCAAGCTAACTAAATGGATGCTTATGCGTGTGATTGAGAATCTGATATACTATAAAATCCCCAAATATGAGAGGATATCTTATTCAGCGCTGTAGGAACCGAAAAGCAAGAGCAATTCATTAATATTGTTCCACGGAGAAGCTCAATTATTGCTTGGTCATTTTGCGTCCTCGATGCCTATGTTATAGTTCCATTATGTTGCGATTAACATGCACCTAAGAGTTGTTTGCTTTTGTTTTTGGGGGCTTTGCTACAGAACTCTGATATTGGTCGCTCCTGGCATATAACATGAAGGAACTTCGTTAGATGTATTTCAAAACGGAGCTCTTACCAGGAGCACAAAAATCATATAGCTATAAGATGGGTTAAATGCTCTAAACCATGCTAATTCATTTGATTTAGATGAGGCGGCTATTAGTGTTTGATGATTGGTTGTGTGGACCAGCATTTTAATGGATCCTCTTTCTAAGTTGGTTCTACGGTGCAAGATTTCAGTTAACTTCTCTAGTTCACCGTATTTTGCAAAGGAGCTTCCTTCACGAAACATCAGAACTGGCGCTCTCACTTGTAGCATAGCACCCGTTTATGTGCAGTGGGTTGAATTCTTACTCCTGTTTCCCTCCATTCGCCTAAACTAATGATTTTTGAGTATGGAATTTCTTAAATGTTTTACTTTGGTCAGATCTGCTTCATAAACAGTTTCATATTTTTGTGGAGATTTACCTGATCTCTAACTATTCTTGAAGATGGTGAATATCTTCTTACATGTGTTCTTTGCCACTGTGGATGTGCTCTGTTTCCTCCTGCCAGTCTTTTCGCAGAACCAGGCGTTTTCCATGGCAGCACGATTTATTTGAAGATAGCTTAAAAGCTGCAGGTATACACGGAATAGAAGTGGGCACAAAGTTGTATGTTTCCAACTTGGACCATGGAGTAACCAACGAAGATATAAGGGTACAGATCATGTTATATTCTTTCAAACATAATCAATGTTCCTAACCAGTCTCTCTTGAAGTCCTGTTGAAACTTGGATTTGCAATTCAGGAACTTTTTGCGGAGATTGGAGACTTGAAGCGCTATGCAGTTCACTATGACAGAAATGGTCGTCCTAGTGTATGTATTGGGCTTTCAATTACTACAGTTTCATTTATCATATATTTTTTTGTTGATTAGTCTTTATATTGGCTCAAGTGGGTGCACTAGCCACCTGTGGTGGTTCTGTTATTTTTATCCTTTTCTGTCTGTTACTATACTATTTTAGTTGAATAAATCTAGTGTTGTCTTCCTTATATGATATGCCCTGCCTGATATCTGGGGGAGAGCTTTCATCTCACGTGTAGAAATTTGCTACCTCATGACATTACTTTCTCAGTATTGTTGTGTTGCCTGTCCTTGCCTCTGTCTTCTTGAGGTTTAAATCTTGAAGATATTAGTATCACAGCATGAAATTGTTAAAGATTGAGCTGCAGGGTTGTGAATGCCAATTAGACTTTTTAGGTGTGTTTGTTAGTGGGAAAGCAATGCTTGATATATGTATAGGGGTGCAAAGTATAGTGGGCTCTTGGCGAGGCAAATGTGTATTGATTTGCATGTTTTAGTCATTTTAATTTTAATTTTCAATATTTACACTATTAGTGTGTTATTTTATTTCTTTTATTGGTTACAGGGTTCAGCTGAAGTTGTCTATACAAGAAGGAGCGATGCATTTGCAGCTCTTAAACGGTACAATAATGTACTTTTGGATGGAAAGCCCATGAAGATTGAAGTTGTTGGTGCCAATGCAGAATTGCCTGTATCAGCTCGTGTGAATGTTTCTGGGATAAATGGGCAGAGGAAGAGGACAGTTGTCATGACGTAAGTCGTTATTTGTGTATCAAGTTTATTTTCCCTTTTTTGGTCTAAGCATGATATTGTCTATCTCTATGTTTCAATGCTGGGTATTTAATGCATGATTTCTCTCGTAATGCAAAAATAAATTGTCCAAAACAAATGCTAAAAATATTTCTCCTTTCACTTTATTCAGTGTTCCTATCCTTCATTTCTCAGCTTCATAACTCCTTTTTGAATGTTCACCGAGGTTAGATATTTTGCAGGCCTGGAGGTCGACCTGGAGGTAGAGCTGGAGGTCCTGCTATGTTTAATCGTGGTGCAGGGTAAGAGTTTTTATCAGTAGACGTGGGATGTCTGTCGTATATGGTGTGTTGCTAAAATGTTTCTTGAGAAAAATTAGTCCATACAAATGTATGAATTTTCAATTTTGTTTTGATGGGTTCTTCAAGAGGACTAACTTTTTGGAAGTTGTGGTATTCGGGGCCAAGATATTTGATGGTCTAGTATTATCTCAAAGTATGTCATTGTACATGCTAAAATGCCTGTTTTTCCTCTGTAGTCTATGCAGGGTAGCAGTATGTTGGCATGATATAAATTTGTAAGCGATAGATATTTGACATCCGGAAATTGGATTTTAATTAATTTAAAATAATATTTGTACAGCTGGGGACGCCGTGGTGGTGGAAGGAGCGGTGGTGGGGGTATGCGTGGTCGAGGTGGTGGACGGGGTCGCGGTCGTGGTCGCGGTCGAGGGCGTGGTAAGAAGGATGGGGTTGAGAAGTCTGCTGAGGAACTTGACAAGGAACTGGAGACTTATCATGCGGATGCCATGCACATCTCATGATTTCCTAAGCAGTACTATAAATATTAGCCAATGCATGCTATTGGCGCCTGTACAAAAGTGGTTCTCCTTTGCTTCTGAACCCGTTACATCAGTGTGTTAGATTTGCATTCTATTTGGTCCTATTGAGATCTTTTTTTGGGCTAAATGAGTGAAGTGGATGATTCTGGAAGTTACCTAAGATGTTAGATAGTTTGGGTGCTATTTTTGGTTAACTCCGTATCTTAATTGCTGGCGTAGATTTTGACTTTCAGTCTTTCATCTCATCTAGAATCTGGTCTTCACTTCAAGAGAGTGATTGTATAAAGCCAATCGGGTTGATGTGATTGATCTCTATGTCCTTTTGACTCTACCCTTGTAGGCTCAAAAACTAATTCTAATCGAGTCGGGTTGTATGTGATTTTGGATTTACATAATTCCTGACATAATTCAGTCCATTTTCAATTCATTATGAGTCAAAAGATTTAAAGATGTTATGTTTTTTGCTCGTACTAATTTAAAATAAACAATGTGCACTCTTAATTTCAAATGCTTCATCGTATTCGAATGATACATAATATGAGAAATAAAAATTGTGAAGTTTCAAAAGTCGTGTGGCTGAACTTAGAACCCCATACCCACATGGAGTTTTTTGGCAGAGGAGACAATTGGATCGTATGAACAATCAAGCATCATTCAAGTGAAATTGTAGGAAAAGAAGATGAGGGAAACTCGAGTTCCTTGCCGTTTCACAAACATGGCGAAAACTCAGCAAAATGTGATGCGGAAGGCAAAAATCAAATACAAAGCTCAAAAGAATTGCAGTGAGGCGCGTGCACGAAGGGGCCGGGGATGATCGAGAATTAAAACGTAAAAAAGAAAAATGGGTGAAAAGAGAGTTTTTGATGTTCTGGATCTAAAGCTCTCAAAATCTCTCTGGCGAAAAGGAAGAAAAGTCTCTCAAAAGCTCGAGATTTGCATTCTAAGGGTGTGTTTGGGTGACACTCCAAACCATGGTTTGGGGACCCAAACCATGGTTTGGGGAATAATCTACCCAAACACCCTCTCCAAAAACCAAAACCATGGTTTTAGGTCAAAACCATGGTTTTGGAAAAAGCAAAATTTTTTTGCTTTTGGAGAAAAAAGGGAGAGTGTGAGGGCCTATATGATATGTATCTTGTTATTTTTTTTTATAAACATATTTTTTATAAATATATTTAATCTTATATTTTATAAATATATATACACATTAATTATTTATTAATTATATTATCTTATGTATCATTAATTATGTTGGTAAAAAACATATTAGTAACAATTTTATTCCTTCAAATTAAAATATATCATAAAATTTATTTTTTCTGTAATTATCATATTAACTTATATCTTTTTTTTAGTAATTTGTATATATAAAAAGTGCTTCTGATAACAACTATCCAAACACTCTCACTTTTCAGAATCACTTTTTTACAAAATCTATTCTTCACAGAATCTATTTTTCCCAGAATCTATTCTCCAGAATCACTTTTCCAAACCACGGTTTGGTTTCATCCAAACACACCCTAAGGGAGAAATCCAAGCCCAATAGCATTACAAGTCACTAAGTGCTCATCATTAATTATAATGTTACTACTTCCGATTCTAATTATAAAATTTCGTTTATAAACTACAACCCCACATGCATCATAATGTTAGGATCCCATCACATCACATCACATGAATTTGTTCGGAGTTTAAGACTTTGCAGTTAAGCTAACTCCCGACAGTTGTTAGACACTAATTAAAAGCCTATGCCAAGGTATTGGGCTGGTTGAGGTGGTTTTTTAAGAGATAGTAATTGAAATTAAGATCAGACCGATCATAATTAAAATAATATTTAAATAAAAAGTATTAACCAATATGAATGTAGATCATTTATGTATAAACACATAACCCAACAAAATAGATTTATTAAAGCATAAATTTAATGGATTGCTATTTTTTTAAAACTCAGAATGGTCTCATTTCAAGCTTAATAAGAAAAGAAAAGAAATATAAAATCCAATTTGTATGAATTGTACAAAACTCTTAACCAGACTCGTTAAGAGACTAGTTCTCTAGTTAATTAGTAAGTTTGGGAAAGTAAGTTTTGTATGTACATTTTAATTAGAAAGTCTGACTTTCTTAAATACCTCATGCGGCTCTGGAGTTTTGTATGTACATTTTAATTAGAAAGTCTGACTTTCTTAAATACCTCATGCAGCTCTGGAGTTTAGACTTTCCAGAAGTATCTCTTCATTGTGGTAACGTTATATACCCTTTATTTATGAACCCTATTATGATCAAAGAATTAATATTTGCACCGTACCAGCTCAACCGGTGCTCGACCAAAAAAGCCTGTGTGTGTGTGTGTTATGAGGATGCAACTATAATTATGTGTTGTCTTTTTTACTCAATGTATGTATTCTTATTTTAAGTTTATTTGTTTGTTTCTTTTATCCCTTATGAAATAAAATTTAATTTCCCAACAATTATAGCGCCCTACAGACTATATACAGTGACATATGACGGATCTCATCATGCGCCTGGCTATTTGCATTGAAATTAAATGCCATTCTTTTCTATTTTATTTATTGGTGTGTAGGGCATTGGTATTTAATTTGGAGATATTAAGAAAGCTAAATAAATTATTCTTAAAATATTTATGTTTATTAGTTTTTCTAAACGAATTTGCTTGACTTATAAACTGATATATAATCTAATGATATCTATAAGTATTTTAGAAAAATTATGTAACATATAATTTAATCTCCTCAAATTAGTCAGCTGAATTTTATATTAAGAAAGCAAAGTAGTAGCTAAAATAGCATATTCAGCCTCCAACTTGAATTTGCAGTAATAAAGGTAGATAACTACAGATAGTGAGAACTGTGACTTTTGAGGGTGGATAAGAGGGAGAAGAAGATAAGTGGGGTGTGACTGATTAATGGAAAAACCAAGAAAGGAACTATTTCATATGAGAAAGTGTGGGCACATATCTATATACTCCCTAATTAGGAAAACTTATTCAGCGAAGAATAAAATTTAAGCTAAGTCACTTACATCAAATAGGGCCTTGTTTGGATAGCAGGTCAAACCATGGTTTGGAGACCCAAACCATGGTTTGGGAAAAAATAACCCAAACAGGCACAAATTATCTGAAACCATGGTTTAGGTCAAAACTATGGTTTTGGAACTCAAAGCCATGGTTTCGGGAGAAGTGAATCCATTCTGCTTCTAACTCAAATTAGAGAGTATGGTTGTGTCTATTAGAGCAAATATCAACAATAATATGACTTTAACACCCCTTAATTAATTTTTTTATAAACATATTTTAATCTTATATCTTATAAATAAATATACACATATTAATTATTTATTAATTACATTATCTTATGTATTATTAATTATGTTGGTAAAAAATATATTATTAACAATTTTATTACTTCAAATTAAAATATATCATACAATCTATGTTTTATGTAATTATCATATTAACTTATGCTTTTTTTAATAATTTGTACATATAAAAAGTATTTCTGATAACAATTATCTAAACACTCTCACTTCTCAGAATCACTTTTTCACAAAATCTATTTTTTCTAAAATCTATTCTCCAGAAGTTATTCTCCAAACCATGATTTAGTTTCATCCAAACACAGCCTAGATCAAGTTTCTAGGTGAACTTACAAGGGCATATACACATTGTTACAACTAAAAAAAAAAAAATTGGTGTGATTAGCAAACTTACAGAATATAAATAATTTGACTTAAATTCTGTCCTTCAGTAAGCCACATGATTATTTCTTAAAAAACTTTTATCATCACTTAATTAATAGTTGTCTCTCTTACTTAAAGACCTAATCTGCAAATGAGTCCCCTTCAACTAAATCAATTGTAATACTCCTCCGGTTATTAGTATAAGACTTCTTTAACTAATTTGATTAGATTAAGGAAGTTAAGTAAATTAGTTAATTATAAGAAATATGACATGTTTTTTTCTAAAACACCATAATCATCTTTCTTAATATCTTTCCTCTCTGACTTACTTGATTATGGTTGAGGGAGAATCCATAAGGGTAATTTAAGAAAAATTAATAAATATGAGAAATATGTTTTATATTTAGGACAAAAATTAACTTAACAATTAGATCCTATATTAAGGATCGGAGGAGTAATAATTATGACTACCATAATTTTTATTTTTTTCCCCCGCAGCAGCCGTAGGCGCATGCGCATCTCATTGTTAAAGTACTCTTCCAGTCCTTAATATAGGACCCAATTGTTAAGTTGGTTTTGATCCTAAATATAAGACCCATTTCTCATATTTATCAATTTTCTCTAAATTACTCATATGGATACTCCCTCAACTATAATCAAGTAGAAAAGGAAGAGAGGGTGTTGAGAAATATGATTATGGTATTTTAGGAAAAACGTGTCATATTTTTTATAATTAACTAATTTACCTAACTTTCTTAATTTAATTAAATTAGTTAAATGGGTCTTAAGGATCGGAGGAGTAGTTAAAAAAGAATAACTATGCTTAGGCGCATGCGTAGTGAGGCGTTAACCAGTTATCCCTCAAGTCCATATATCACCCTCATGTGTTTAGTTTCTTCTCACGCTTTAATGTAACTTCTTCATCAACGAATTAACAAATTAAATAAGAGTACTAATCCACATGATACAAAACAACTAAGCCACATGATTATTACTTAAACAAGTTTTATTATCATTTAATTAATAGTTGTCACTCCTGCTTAAAGACCTAACCGGCATATGAGTCTCCGTCAACTAAATCAATTGTAATACTCCTCCGGTCCTTAATATAGGACCCAATTCTTGAGTTGGTTTTGGTCCTAAATATAAGACCCATTTCTCATATTTATTAATTTTCTTTAAATTACCCCTATAGATACTCCCTCAACTATAATCAAATAGAAGAGGGAGAGGGAGTATTAAAAAAGATGATTATGGTATTTTAGGAAAAATCTGTCACTTTTCTTATAATTAACTAATTTACCTAATTTTCTTAATTTAATCAAATTATTTAAATGGGTCTTATATTAAGGACCGGAGGAGTAATAACCACGACTATCATAATTTCTAGTTTTTTTTCCCAAGCAGCCGTACGTAGCCTATGTGCATCTCATTAATGATTAAACTAATTAAATAAGTTTAGTGAGAAAAAAATAATTAAAGAAGAATAACTAATGCTTAGGCGCATGCGTAATGATGCGTTGACCACTTATCCCTCAAGCCTAGTATATACCATCCTCATATGTTTAGTTTCTTCTTATGCTTTAATTTAACTTCTTCATCACCAAATTAACAAACTAGGTGAGAGTACTAATCCCAGCCACCATGGAGTTTCAGGTGCTTCTTCTCACACTCTTCCTTCCCTCCTTTGTCATCTTTCCGCCGAAGTGCCGGACACCTACCCTCGGCTCCTTGGCCGCGGCTGCCGGTCATTGGCCACTTGCACCTCCTCGGTCCCCTCGTCCATCACTCCCTCCACCGCCTTTCTCTTCGATACGGCCCCTTCTTCTCTCTTTACCTGGGTTCCATTCCCTGCATCGTTGTTTCTAATCCCCATTATGCTAAGTTGTTCCTTCAGGACAAGGAGCTCTCCTTCAGCTCTCGCTTTGAATCCACTGCCATTAAACGGCTCACATACGAGACCTCTCTGGCTTTCTCACCCAACGGACCTTACTGCAAGTTCGTCAAGAAGCTAACCTTGAACGAACTAGTAGGTTCTCGAGGCACAGAAAGATTTTGGAGCCTGCGTGCCCAGGGGTGCCAAAACCTTGTGAAGCTCGTCGCTAAAAAGGCAAGGTCTGGTGACGCGGTGAATGTGACAGAGCAGCTACACAAGATGACGAACAGACTGATATCGAAGATGATGATCGGAGAATCGGAGGAGGCGACGGATGTGATACGAGAGGTAACGACGATGTTCGGAGAGTTCAACGTGGCGGATTTTGTTGGAGTGTTGAAGAAGGTGGACGTGCAAGGGTTTGGGAAGAGAATCGAGAATCTGCATCAGAGGTTTGATGATTTAGTGGAGAGGATCATTACGAAACGTGAACAAGGCAGGGAAAATGGCAGGAAACAAGACGATGGCGATAAGGACTTTCTTGACATTTTGCTTGATCTTGCGGAGGATGAGAGCTGCCATGTCAAAATTACAAGGGTTCACATGAAAGGCTTAGTTATGGTAAGTAATTGTAGATTCCTTTTTTACCCCTCCCTCAAATGTGAATAAAAAAACCAACTTCAATACTCATTACTTTGATCATATCTGTATGGTGATCTATATCTAATTTGAGTGGTTTAGACTTAAAATTTTTACTTAATTATTTTTAAAGAGAAAAAAGTATTTTTTTTAAATAATGATAGTTAAGAGATTATCTCTATTTTAAATTCTATATAGATGAAAATAATTATTTTAAATAAATAAAAATAAAAAAAATCAAATCTAACGAGGTATAGATAATTTGACGAGTTTAGGGTGTTTATCACCAAAACTAGTTCCGTGAATAAATTTGATGGGTGTTTCAGGATTTATTCACAGCGGCCACAGGTGCTATAGCAACAGGGATAGAATGGGCACTGGCAGAGCTTATCAGCCACCCCCATTTACTCCAAAAAGCTCGCGAGGAGATTGATGACGTGGTTGGAAATCAGCGGTTGGTTGATGAATCAGACGGTTCAAAACTCCCCTTCATCCAAGCCGTCATCAAAGAAACGTTGCGTTTGCACACGCCAGTGGCTTTAGTTGTAAGAAGGTGCATCGTAGAGAGCAGGATTGAGAATTACGTGATCCCAAAGAACAGTGTGCTTATAGTTAATGTTTGGGCCATGGGCAGGGACCAAAACCTCTGGGAGAGCCCAATGGAATTTGAGCCCGAACGATTCTTAAGGCCCGTAGAAGGAGGTAATTGTGAGAGGGTTTTGGATGTGAGGGGACAACATTTTGGGTCCGTTTGGATCAGCGATTGGAAAAGTAGCTTATTAAAAAAGTAACTTATAGAGAAGTGAAATTGGATAAAAGCTAAATTGGATAAGCTGAATTGTGTTTGGATTAGAGTTCAGAAAAGCTAGATTGCAAAAGTGAGATTAGTAAAAGGTTGTTTGGATTATGATTGAGTAAAAGTAAGTTTGGTTATAAAATGACCAAAATAGATATGAGTTTTAATAAATAATGAAACATGATTAAAAAAATAATTTCACATAATACAATGAAATTAAAATAATTTAATATGAAGAAGTCATAAAAAATATTTTAAATATAAAGTGAAACATGAAAAAATAAAAGTATATTTTTAGGAGCATATTTAAAAATAAAAATATATTTCTAACTTATTCATTACTTTCAACTAATTTTAACTGATTTTTTATTATCTACAAATTAGTTATTTGAAACTTATAATAAGAACGAAAAGAGGTAATAAATTTCTTAACTTTTTTTCTCTCCATATTTCAAAAGCTATAAGCCATAAGCTGTTAATTTTAGCTTATAGCTTATTGTAGCTTTTCAGACAAAAGCCCGATTACAGAAAAGCTGATCCAAACAGACTCAATTGTGCCAATCGAGCTTATAGAGCTTATAGAGCTTATAAGCTACTTATAAGCTCAAAATAAGTGATGCCAAACAAGCACTTTGAGTATTTTCCATTTGGGAGTGGGAGGAGGATGTGTGCTGGTATTACTCTAGACATGCAAGAGTTGCCCATAGTGCTGGCCGCCCTCATTCAGTGCTTTGATTTTCGGCCCATAGGCCCTGATGGCAACAAAGTTGACGAGGTTGATATGATAGAGGGGCCGGACTTGACTGTTCCACGAGCCCATGAACTTGTATGTGTCCCCATCGCAAGGCCCATATGTGGCCCACTCCACTTGGTTTGAATTCTTTAAGGACAACTTCGGGTCAAAAAAATTATAGGCCTTGTATTTAAAGACTGGAGGAATAACATAATTTATGTTTAAAATTAAGATATTAAAACATTTTTATAATTAAAATTGTTTAATTTGTTGTCTTAAAAAATGATTCTAAAATTTAAAATATTTGATTGAAATAATATTTCTTAGTAAGATTGTAACAGAAAAGGAAAAGAATCTTGCTAATAAGCACGTGTAACCATTATTTACAAACTCTGTAACTCCCTTTAATACATATATATATATATATATATATATCATTTTGACTTTTACTTCAAAAAATATTTCTTAATATAAAAGCTAATTGACTAGTTTGAGTAGATTACGAAAATTAATTAAATTAGTTATTTGTAATAAATAAGTGTTATCTTTTCTAAAATATCTTTGCTAAACATGTTTACTAGCTAGAACTATTATTTAATGAAATATTTAACATATGCAATTACTATAAGGACTACCATAAAAAAATGGATAAATATGATAAGCAAATTGGATTGAGGTCTTATATTTAGATCAAATTAAATATTAAACTAACTCTTATATTAATAACTAGAGATATTATTTCTTAAGACTCTTTTATTCTTATCTATTTTTATATTACTTTATTTTATAACATAAGATTTATTTGTGTAATTCAACTCAACATATCAAAATTTGCAAACCTGGGTTACCTTCAACGCATTAAGATAGTTAAAAAATCTATTCCATCTCTGACTTGGAATCGCAGGAACAAAACCAGATAAACACGCACACACAAACACACACAAATGCCATGAGTCACAAAGAAGGAACCATGTATAGTTTCGTTAAACTTCATCCTCTCTGGTAACGGAAGAGATCTATTGAACGAACAGAGACACTTGAGAAAAAATTAAATGCGAATGCTTTCCATTTCTTTTAAAAAAGGAATAGTACATAGTTCATAAATGAACATCAAGTACAAAAAAATTCAGGACCAACACATTTTGACGCCTTACACTCATCTTTTTACATAATAAATGTACAATGAAGCAATGATGATAATGACAAGAACAATAAGAGTGATCTAAAATATATTTAACCTAAAGATCTGACATAACAACAGATGTCATTTTGGGACACTTGAATCTGTTGTACTTGTATCCCCTTTGAGGCGCAGGTCTCCTGATTCATTCTTATTTAAAAGTTTTTCAACAACTTCATCCCAATTCAGCTTTCCAGCACTTGATTCGGATTTGCTAGTTGTTCCATCTTTGCTCTTATCAATGTTGGAAGGTTCTCCCTCTTCTTCTTCCTTCCTCTCAGAGGCTTCATCCTCTGCAGCTTCCACTGCATGAGGCACATTTAAGCTAACAGCTCTTTCCAAAGCATCCTTGTGCTCTTTCTCAATTGTCTGCAACCTCTGCATTTTCTGCACTGCTGGAGGAGCCATCACGGTCTCTTGGCTGCTGCCTTTCATCATCTAAAAATAAAAACAGCAATTCTGAGTCTTTGTGCAGAAGAGATGAAAGACTTGCTCATAGCAAATGGAGATTTGAGGAAAATAAGACTCAAGAGATAAGTAAGATTTTGGACACGGATTAGGAGCTGAAACTGTGTGACCATCCCTCCCTATAGAAGCTATGTTTAAAATTCTGTTCGATTTTTTGAAAACTAGCAACAACAGCTAACTTTTAACTACAAAATGGGTAAGCCATCGATCAACTGATCTAACGTATTCAATAACGTATTTAAGAGATAACCAAAAATTAAAAAAAAAAAATACACAAGAAAACAAGTTTCCAAGTTTGTGCGCCCCCGGGGGGGGATAGTCTTCATGGAATTGTTGTCTTATTCATGTGAAAACCAAGGACAGGTTTCGAATGAACAGATCATTTCTAATCATGTCATGAAGTAGCAATAAGCAGGTTCTTCAACCACAAGCAGGTTCAGATAGCCACACGCTAAGAATTTCCCCAATTGAGAACTATTCAGGACCTGCAGTTGTGTGGATTATTTTCCCACGGGGCCAAGGTTCAGCACGAAGATGGAGGAGAAAATCTTCCTAGAAGTGGTTTACGGTTCAGAGTTAAAAAACAGGAAAAAACAATCAATGGCAAGGGCGTAAAAATGGGAGGCACCCCTAGTTCATAATGATATATCAAAATTGGATACTTGGCTTCAACTTAAACAGCAGAATTCACACCCTAGAAGCAAAAAGAAATATGGAAACCCTGTCAACATAACTAACTGCCTAACTGCCCACTTATGAAAGCTTTTAGTTGGATGACTCAAAAAATATCCAGCATCTCCTGAAAGAAAGGTCATTAATGTTTGATTCCCTCTAGCATGAAGATGAGAAAAATCTTAATATCCAACAGTCCAACTCTGACTTGCTTACAATATCAAATCTTTTATTGTAGCAGTTGCGTGGGGGAAAAGATCGTGATTTTCCTTCCATATACAGCGTATCTTGTTGTCGTAGGCAAACTAAATAACTCTGAAGAAAAGCAGAACACATAGTAAATGGCATACAGATTTTCAATCCTAATTCCTCTTACATTTAAGGCCTTCTCTGCTTCTCTTTCAATCCAAATAATTCCATGGTCTGATGTTGCATTACAAGACAAGACAATATGCTCAAATCTCCCATCAACTGGAATAGCAGTCCTCACTTCTGGAGGGAACCTCCCACATCTGTGTTCACCAAGCCACGAGGAACTTCTTAATGACACAACGAAGTACTGGCAGACATAGTTCAGGACAAGATTTAGCAATGAATATGAGACATCAGACTTAAATTCTGACTTTATTGAAAGAAGTAGCAACATTGGAATTAGCCGAGTCCAGTCAAATAGAAGAAAGTGTTTTCCATTACGATTATGCAGCATAGGCATTACAGCTCCAAACAAAGTCGAACCCATTGGCTAAAAGAATTTTAAAGAACCTTAATCTAAGGCAGCAATTCTTTATGCTAGAAATCAAAGTAAGTTACCCATTAAATAGGCTTCATATTTTGTCATATACCGCACCTTCCAACTAAGTTTGCGTCAAGTTAAAAATTGAAAGAAAATTTCACTAGCTTCATGACTATACTGGATTTTACTATGGATGAAACTGTCACAAATTCAATACCTGCAAAATTTTCTTTCCACGATATGGTACATTCGTCCAGGTGCATAAAGTCTTCTTGGATCTCTAAGCTTTCTTCCTTCTGGTATGAAGGTGTCCCTCAAGCAAACCAAGAATAATAAGCAGGGCAAGCTGTTTAAACCATCAAGCCCTGGTTTAAGAGACCATAATAGTAATTTACTCCACTAAATTAACAAAGTGAATGTACAATATGTTATGTGCATTTTAAACTTTATGCACAAAGTCAAGGACATGAGAGCAGAACGCTAACCAGAAGATTGACTTGAATATATCTTCCAATGGCGTTGCGGTTCTGGGTAAGAAATCGTCCTACATAATGGAAATAAGATAATGTAAGCCAGCACCATCAGTGCAGATTAATAATAGTCCAATAACAAAATAAGAATGAAAATCTAAAGCAAAGAAAGCCCCCCCCCCAAAAAAAAAAAAAAAAAAGAAAGAAAGAGGGAAGGAAGAAACGACAAAAACTGCCCATGACACGAATAAAAGATATCAGAGCTCATGAAATTCAGAATCCTCGTTTGTCCAAAATTAAAAGTGCAGTTCAACTGCTGGAATGATCTTAAACCCCCAACTCAATGACAACAGAAACTGAACATTAAATTAAACACATAGTTCAGTCAACGGTCAAAAGGAAGGAAGTTGATCACCTGCAACACTATAGAATGAATGACGTCCGCGTATTTGACCGCCAAATTCAGTGACATGCACCTCGCAGGTGCAATCGCGAAACATTGAATCTTGTTCCTGGGAATCCCTCCAAGTCGGTCCCTTTCTTTGACAACCATTATCGTCAACAACGAAACCACACCAGAACCCAAAGAATGCCCAGCAAATACCATTTTATAATCGGACCCACTGTCAATCCACAACTGCTTCAAAGTCTCCGATTCCTTTTTGAGCAACCAAATAGCAGAATTCAACAGACCGTGATGGACATAGCCACCATCGAACATCTCCTGACCCAATCGATTATCCAAAAGCAGCTTGTAATCGCTCCCCATGGCAAGATTAAGTCCCCGAACGGCTAGCACAATCTCGCGGTGGTCGTGATCAGTGTAAATGAGATAAGGCGGCGTGCGGCCCCCCGTCTCCTCGTAGGAGACGCGCTTGACGACCCAAGCGGGGTTAAGACGGAACCCACCGGCAGGTTGGTAACGTGGATTGTGGAGATCAGGCTCGTAGATGGCGAGGATCAATCGGCAGGCGCGAGGGACAGGTTCAAACTCATCAGGGGTGGCGGAAGGCCAGGTGGCGCTGTCGTAAGAACCAACATAGGTGCAGCGCTTCCATATCCAGCGACTAAAGCCAAGTATGAAGACGCATTCGACCCCGCAAGTTAAAGACATGTTGGCGAAATCTAGCTTGTGGGCGAGAGAGAACGATGGAGATTTGCAGGATTGAACAAAGAAAGTGGGAATATTTGGGTTCTCCGATAGCAACGGAAGCTAGATTTGTGTGAGAGGCATCGCCGGCGAGGCAGTAAAGCTGAATGCTTTCACCACATGGGTTGCTCACATGGAATTCGAAGATTCGCGTCTGAAACTACGAGCTGGAGAGAGAGAGAGTGAGAGGGATTCATTGCTTGTGTCCGGGATGAATGCGGGTCTCAATCATTTATGTGCTTGCCTATCTGTCCAAGACATTATTTTTACTCTTCCGCAACTTCATATAAAACTCAATTGTTGAGTTAATTTTTATTCTAAATATAAGACTCATTTATTATATTTATTAATTTTTTTAAATTACTTATCTAGATACTTTTTCAGTTGTAATCAAATAGAAGAAGAAAATGAGATATTAAAAAAGATGATTATGGTATTTTAAAAAAAACGTGTCATTTTTTTATAATTAACTAACTTACCTAAATTTCTTAATCTAATCAAATTAGTTAAATGGGTTTTATATTAAGGATAAGAGGAGTAACTTTTTAACTAAAATTAAACATTTACTCCTTATTATTTATTTTAATTTTAATCCGGTCTCCATACTTTTATTTGTTTCTCCAGTATATCCCTCCATTTTGTAACACGCATTAGTTATACTTGTTAAAATATTTGCTTTTCAATAAAATGGTTTGGGAAACCTATCTGACAAGAGACAAATAGATAAAGCTATATGTATCTACAAAATTGTTCTTCAATATCATAAGTATTTATATTTTATAATTAGTCAATTTATGTATTTATTAGTAATCACGCATATATATTTAAACTTGACATTTGACATTAAAATTATGAGTCTTTTTTAATTTTATTGGCAGTGGGCAGTGGCTTATCAGATAAAATCATTCACATTGTCCGTAAGCTTAGTGTTAAGTGCTATAAACAAAAAAAGTAAAATTCCAATGACTAAATATATTTACATACTAATTCAAAAAAAAAAAAACAAGGGAGAAAAATTGTGCATCTATCCAAATCTAAACTTTTATCCAAATCAAATGTTTGTTATCTTGTGCTCATGTTTAAATGTGAACAGCCCAATTAGGTTTTGGTCATGCTGGTGGGAAAAAAAGAAAGAAAGAAAGAAAGGAAAATTAGGTTTTGGTCAAAGTCTCTCATTTAATGTTGAGACTTTACAATGTGCTCTCTCAAAGATGTAGAATCAATGAACTAGATGGAGGACAATATAAATAAGGTTTCCTTCCGTGGGATTTTATTTTGAAAAAATCTATAAAAAAAAATGACTGTTGAATTTTAAAATTTCAAATCAGTATTCATTACTATATTTGTAAAGAAAATAATTACATTCAAAAAGCAAATAACAATAGATTTTTGTAGTAATTCTTTATTTGTCATTTTGAAATTCAACAGTCATTTTTATTTTGGATTTTCCCTTTCATTTTCTACGTTAGCCTCTTATTTTTAGTTTTCATGTATTATTGATTGAATGTCATTTGATGTATAATGTTATATTTGCTTCAATCTCCCATCCACGTGCATTTCTAGAAACAAGTATAATGAAATGTATTCTTTACGTCTTATTCTTCTAATCATAACTATAAAAGCTTGTTGGGGTCAGTTTTAATGTGAGACGTTAATTTATTTTAACTCATATATTTATTTTTTAAATTAATTTATCTAACTTATAAATTAATATATAATCTAATATTACGTTTGAGTATTTAAAGGCAATCATATCACATTTATTTAAATCAATTCATATATTTAGGTTTTTAATTTATCCAAATTTTTGTCACCTTAATCTATTCAAATTAATTAAATAATCCTTACATTAAAGATCAAAAGATCAATATTATTGCAGTGTTGATGGCATAACGAGGAAGTTATTTGAAGAATCTTTTGCAATATAATAATTCTTGCTCAATCGATGAGGAAGGTATGCGTGTGCATTCAATGAAATTATAATGACTAGTTCTTACAATTTGAAAAGTGTAGGGTTAAATTTTAATATATATATATATATATATCTATATATAGGGACCATATTAAAAGTGAAAAAAAATTGTATGACTAAATCAAAATATTTAAATTTTCCAATAAGAAAATAGTATCAGGAACGTGCTCCCCATATTAAATGGTTAAGGGTTATAGACAAGATCATATGAATAATAATTGACAAGTCTAAATCAAACAGCTCATGCGAAGTGGACGGCTTGGATTTACTCTGTCATCAGACGCACCACCTAACGAACGCCATTACTCCGCCTGTTCCAACCAACATTCCTTCTTTACCCTTTCACTCATGCATTAGTCCTGTTACTCCTGTACTAAATATAGATTTGTTTAACTAATAGGAAGAGGCAAAAAAATTAATTAAATTAATTATTTATTAAAAATATGAGTTTTTTTTAAGAAAAACTCTATTAAATTATTTACATTCAAATTTCCTCCTCTACCAATCCTTTTTTTTTCCCTCTTTTGCCCAGACTCTTTTACTATCTTCGTTATCGTTAGATTAAATTTTAACCATTTAGATTTAATATTTTATAAAATATTATTATAATTTTATTATAAAAATATATAAATAAATTTGAGCTACTAAAATCTAATCTGATCAATTCACAATTGTGGCATATTATTATAAAATAGATTTTTTTTTATTTTTTCTTTACTATAGTTATAAATCATATCAAATTATCTAGTTCAAATTTATTTATATATTTTTGAAGTAAAATTAATATAATATTTTTATAAAATATCTTTATAATAATAAGCTACAGTGTAAACTCTCCATATCATATTTTAAGAAATTTATTTACACATTTTTAAAGTAAAATTATAATAATGTTTTTATAATGTGTCAAACCTAAATCATTAAAAATCTACTACCCAAAAAAAAAATCATTAAAAATCTATTCTAATAAGGATGAAGGGATAGAGCAAAGGAGCTGATTTCTATATATTTAGTGTAAAACTTAGACTCCAATTAATTCTGATATTAAGAACTAGAGGTAATATTTTATTTGACTGATGTCAAAATAACTTTTGAAAAATTGAGAAATCATTCCAATTTTTATTCATGCTTTACATCAAACAAGCTATTAGCTTTTTTGGTGCTATTGCATCGGTTTTGGTAATTTAATCAGAAGTTATTCTCACTTTTGTTTTTTAAAAAACCAAAACATGGTTTTAACCAAGATCAACACACAAAACACATTTCATCTTTTTGGCAATGTCTTTAACTACTACCCGAAAGTTCCATTTGAAGCCTACTATTTCTTTCTTTGTTTCTTAATTCATGATTACTCTTCTTCATTCCAGGAGCCATCTTCACTTTTCAAGTATTATTCTTTTTTTTAAAAAAAACAAAATGTTCTAGATTGGTCCGCTTTATTCTAGGAAACAAGACAAATACTTGACGAATGTTGGTTGAATTCAGCTATTATGTTAATTAAATTAATGAATGGTTATGATTAAAATTGAGAATGATTAATCTAATAAAACCTGCGCATCAACTTGCATAAATATTTTACTATTAAAAAAAGGTTAATTTTCAATTATGCAAATTATGAAATTTAAGGCTCTCATAATTTAATAATAACCTGGTAAATGGGAGACGCTACGCGATTACTTGTGATAATTTTGGTCGTTGAGAATGAATGTTCCCCCCTAAAGAAATCAAATTAAAAAAAAAAAGGAAGAAAAAGGGCGGAATACGTTTTCCAGGTCATTGATTCTGAAGTCTCGAGGAAAGGAAAATTCCCTCGCTTTATTTAACTTTCTTCTTCCTTAAGGAATTCATTATTCGCAAAACCTTGTTTCTGATGGGAATTCCAAGACAACAAAGAGTTTTTTAATGTAAAATTACGGCCGTGGGGCTTGCTTTATTTCCAATATTTCTATAAAATAATAATCACAAAAGCACATTCAATAAAAGACAACAACACATGGTGCAAAATTCCTTCCAGGAACCAACCATAGAATCAAAGCTTTCATACCAAATATTCAATGCGTGTTTTCTCCAAAGTTAATATTTAATTGAAAAAGGAGTTAATATAATCTTTGATTCCTAAAGTTTGAACAAATTTTGGTTTTAGCTCTTGAAATTTCAAATCACAGATTTTGATTCTTTAAGAAACAAAATAGTCTAGATATTTATTAAATTATATAGATCAATATTTCAAAGAAAAATAAACTTGAAAGATTAAAAACTATGATTTGAAATTTAAAAAACTGAAAATTGTATTAATCCTATTATAAAAAGAGAACAAGATGCGAAAATGCATGACTTAAACAAGGATTTCTTTTTACTTAAACAGATATAAACTATAACTTGAGATTACAAGATCAAATCAAATTCGTAACATTTCACTTATATGGGAACTTGCATGCCACTGAGACATGAAGCTGTTGGCCTTCAATGACAATTTAACTACTACACGAAAGATATTAATAATATGAATGCATGCGAGACGAATTTAGTCAATAGTTAATCTAATTTGAAAACCTAATATGGTTTTAATATAAGATTTAGCTTTTTTGTTTGAAACTGATCAAGCACAACCATAATTAGTGAGTTTTATCATTTTGTCTATCTCTCTCTAATTGCACTGAAGAAGCAACTAAGTTAAGTCTAAACTTATGTGAATAACATTATTTGATGTGTGCGCATGTATGTGAGTCATTTATTCTTCCTTGTTCACCTATTTATGCATGTTCCTCTTCTTGTAAATATATTAAAAATTGTGAGAAGTCATTTTATAAACCATTGATAATCTATAAAAGTTAATATTATTGGCTATGTGCGCATGCATATGTGCCATTTTTTTAATGATAATAATAACTAAGCTCATGAGAGACGAAATTGATAATGTCTAAAAATATCTATGAATTTTACCATGTAAAATATGAGTTTTTTTTATTGTGTGGTGATATTGAGTTTTTTAATACCAAGGAAACAAATGAAAACATGTTCCCTAGTGTAACAGCCAACAAGCACTACCAAAAAACATCTGATTAGCGAAGGAATTTACCGATAGAATTTTTATTTAGTGACGGATTAGCAACGGAATCAAATTACTAACGGAATTAGTGACAGAATTGGTTCCGTTGCTAATTTTTTCGTCACTAATTGGATTACCGATGGAATTTCAAACGGGATTGAAGTTT